TCCACAGTTTTATTCATTTTATATACAAAAAACATCTTCTGCTTTTCTTAAACATATTGCTTGCTTAAATCTTATCAAGATAATATTTCATGAGAGATGGAACGTACCTAGTTCCGAAACGTCGACAGAAAAAAATAAAGAAATGGAGTTTTAAAAATCTTTTTTCTTATTACTTTTTGGATTCTTTGTTCGAAGTTCTACAAAATATTTACAAATGCAAGACTCTATCATCTAATATATATTCTTTCAATTATGATAAATAAACCTAGTTATGTTTGAAAAAAAAATAAGAGAGCATTACCATGACAACGCTATTTTATGAGTTCTGACCCATTAATTGTAAAAATATGAGTATTGTACAAGGAACAAATTATATGAGTAATTAGCTTACGTTTCGACTCTTAGTTTGTCTCATCTCTAAATACTAAATATTTATAAAGAAATAGATAAAGTCCATACTTCTGATCTGTACATGACTTTGGTACAATTGGAACTTAGTTTGCTCGTTAGTAGCGTTGTTTTAGTCTCGAAGTTGTTTTATAGCTAGCTTTGATTTATATATATATATATATATTCAATAGATAAGTCCTGGATTTTTTCAATATATTGATTGTTTCTTTTCCGAACAGTAAATCCAATAATAAAAAACAATTTGTTTTTTGAAGATGTTTAATACGACGTTTCGGAACTAGTACGTTCCATCATCAGGTTTATTCTGTCAAATACATGTTTTTTAAAATACTGATTAACATTAATTAACAATGGTCAATACAGATTAATTAGAAAAAATTTTGTTATAAAGGAATGGATTATGTACCGGATAGATAGTAATAAGACTTAACTAAAAAAGTTTTTATATAAAATTGAGAAGCAAAAATTATTTACCTGTAATAATTTATATATCCATATCACTAATATTTTTTTGTTAAAACACTCGATTTTTTTGGAAGATATTTGTAGATGTTACGACTACACAAGACTTAAACACACTGATATGGATTTCTGTCTGCCAGATGTAAAGGACAAAGCACGGAACTCTTGGCAAAAATGATTTTTTATGGCTCTTGTTTGGTAATTTACGAAAAAAGGAAAAATATTGCTTTAGTAAATGTTGAGAAATATTATGTATATATATATATATATATATATATATATATATATATACATACATACATGAACATGTATATGCACACCTACATACTCATACATACATATGCACATATCTATATATTAATGTATCCACAATTATACACATGAACACATATGCAAGTGTATGTGTATAGTGTATACCCAAAAACATACATATAAGCATATATATGGATGTACATATATTAACAACATATATACATGTATATATATACACATATTCAAAAACTATTAGGATTAATTATTTTAATCAGGTTTAAAAAATTTAAATATGAGTCATGAATGATATTGTGATCTGATCTTTTATTAACACTTTTTGACGAATTCAAAAAGATTAAACTGCTTTCAGAAAAAAGTCTTTTAAAAGTACAATCCTCTCTATATAAAATATTGGGTTCAAAGGTGAAATTATGTGAGTTTTCGATGGAATGCTGAACAAGAGTACTTTGGAAATTTCGGCTTTTATGATGAGTGACGCTTAATTCATGTTGTCTCATTCTCTATGAATGTACTGTGATGTTTGGCCAATGTATTGTTTTTGACAATTTTTGCAAGGGATGGAATAAACTATGTTAGTATTGAATTTAGGAGGGTGGTGGATTTAATTTTTGAAAACATTTCTTTAAAAGAATATAGAGCTGTTCCTGAAATGAAAATATTTTCTTCTTTGAGTAATTTGGCAAAATAATCAATAAGCCTTCAATGTAAGGCATGCTGTGAAAAGTTGGTTTAATATTGTTGTCTTGGAATAACTTGGAGATGGATTGATAATTGTTACTTTTATGATAGGAAAGTCTTTTATTGGTAATGGAATTGATGAGGGTGAGGGGATATCCGTTTTCTAATAAAGTTTTAGTTACTAATGTTGTGTTTTGGGTATGAAAAGAAGAGTGAGACAACATGATTGCGTGGTCTATCAAAGAAATGATTGTATTGACTTTATAATTTTTGGGACAATATGACGCGTAATGAAGGTATCTCCCGGACCATGTAGTTTTTCTGTACCAATTTGTGCAAATAATGTTGTCAATTTTGTGTACAGTCACGTCTAAAAAGTTTAATTTGTTGTCGATTTGTGTTTCATGGTGTGAACTGAATGCTCTTATTGTAATTGTTAAAGGTATCGATTATTATATCTGATTGTTCTTTGTCTATTATAAAAAAAGTGTCATCTACATATCTAACGTAAAAAATATATTTGGAATTTAATGTGGAGAAAACGGAAATTTCAAGGGTTTTAAAACTAGGTCTATGATGCCAGGGGATAATGGGCAACCCATAGCAGTACCTTTGATTTGTAGATAAAAATTATTGAAACACTTAAAATAAGAGCAATTCAGGACAGTGTTAATGATGTGTTTGAAAGTGGTTATGGGCAAGTCGGTGTAGTTACAAATAGTGGGCCAGCGTTTTTCAATTGAATCAAGTATTAAATCATGGGGAACACATGTGAAAAGGTTAATTACATCAAGGCTTAGAAAAATTTGATCGTCCGTAATGTTTCGGTCTTTGATTAGATCCACAAATTGGTAAGAGTTCTTTACATAGTGAGGAGAGGAAATTGTGACATTTTTTAAAATATTAGCAATGTGTTTAGCGATATAGAATGGGAGCCACGTAGGATACAATGGGTCTAAAGGAGCATTCAGGTTTGTGGACTTGGGGAGACAATACATTTTTTGGGAAATAG